CCCCCCCCCCCCCCTTCTTCTTTTCTGTTTTATCATTTGGAAGCTTTATATCATATATGGTTCACCAAGTTTTGGCTCTCTTACACCAGACTAGATAAACGGGAAATGTCAAAAGTTGGATTTTGTTGAAATTTTTGGTGTTGAGAGGATGGACATTCAGTGGTCATACGAATGTCAGGATCAATAAGTATGTGGTTTATCTGTCTACATTTGCTGGTTTTAGAATTTGCTGTGAACTTTCAATCAATCTAATCACAGAGGTGACTTCCCTGTTTAATGAAGTTAAGCTTACACAATTTTTTATTGAATATTGTGAGAAAGCACGGGAGAAAATATATTATTGATATTGGATAATAAAAATAATACAAGAGGTCCCTATTTATAGCTATACACTACAAGGAGATATTACTCCTCTTCCAATGTGGAACAAGAGTGGGTTGCTCAGGCGGTGAGCACCCTCCACTTCCAACCAAGAGGTTGTGAGTTTGAGTCACCCCAAGAGCAAGGTGGGGAGTTTTTGGAGGGATGGAGCCGAGGGTCTATCGGAAACAGCCTCTCTACCACAGGGTAGGGGTAAGGTCTGCGTACACACTACCCTCCCCAAACCCCGCTATTGGGATTATACTGGGTTGTTGTTGTTGTTGTTTCAATGTGGGACAAGACTACACTATACATATCTGTAAACTAACACTCCCCCTCAAGCCGGTGCATACACATCATATGTACTGAGCTTGTTACGCATGTAGCTAATACGAAAACCAGTAAGAGACTTAGTGAAAATATCTGCTAACTGATCATTCGACTTTACAAACTTTGTAACAGTATCTCCTGAAAGTATTTTTTCTCTGACAAAGTGACAGTCGATCTCAATGTGTTTAGTCCTCGCATGGAACACCGGATTTGATGCAATATGAAGAGTAGCTTGGTTATCACACATCAGTTCCATCTTGCTGATTTCTCCGAACTTTAACTCCTTGAGCAACTGCTTGATCCAAACTCACTCATACGTCGCCATAGCCATGACCCGATATTCGGCTTCGGCGCTAGATTGAGCAACTACATTCTGTTTCTTGCTCTTCCACGAGACCAAGTTACCTCATACTAGAACACAATATCCAAACGTAGAATATCTATCAAAAGGTGGATCCTGCCCAATCAACATCTGTGTACCCAACAATCTGCTCGTGGCCTCGATCCTCGAATAGTAATCCTTTGCCTGGAGCTGACTTTATATACCGAAGAATGCGAACAACTGCATCCCAGTGACTATCACAGAGAGAATCCATAAACTGACTTACAACACTCACCGGAAAAGAAATGTCAGGTCTAGTCACTGTGAGGTAATTCAATTTGCCAACCAACGTCTTATATCTCATAGGGTCTCTAAGAGGCTCCCCCTGTCCAGGCAGAAGCTTAGCATTCAGATCCATAGGTCTGCAACCCATCATTCTAGTTTCCTCAAGAATGTCTAAGGCATACTTCCGCTGTGAAATAACAATACCTGAGCTAGACTGAGCGACCTCAATACCTAAAAAATACTTCAATCTGCCCAGATCCTTAGTCTGGAAGTGCTAAAAGAGATGTTGCTTCAGATTAGTAATACCATCCTGATCATTACCAGTAATAACAATATCATCAACATAAACCACTAGATAAATACACAGATTAGGAGCAGAATGCCGATAAAACACAGAGTGATCAGCCTCACTACGAGTCATGCCGAACTCCTGAATAATTGTGCTGAACTTACCAAACCAAGCTCGAGGGGACTGTTTCAAACCATATAGTGACCTGCGCAATCTGCACACACAACCATTAAACTCCCCCTGAGCAACAAAACCAGGTGGTTGCTCCATATAAACTTCTTCCTCAAGATCACCGTGGAGAAAAGTATTCTTAATGTCTAACTGATAAAGAGGCCAATGACGTACAACACCCATGGACAAAAAGAGACGAACAGATGCTAATTTAGCCACGGGAGAAAAAGTATCACTATAATCAAGCCCAAAAATCTGAGTATATCCTTTTGCAACAAGACGAGCCTTAAGCCGATCAGCCTGGCCATCAGGACCGACTTTCACTGCATAAACCCAAGGACAACCAAAAGTAGACTTACCTGCAGGAAGAGGAACAAGCTCCCAAGTGTCACCCGCATGTAAAGCAGACATCTCTTCTATCATAGCATGTCGCCATCCTGGATGAGATAGTGCATCACCTGTAGACTTAGGGATAGAAACAATGGACAAAAAAGATATAAAACCATAATGAGGTGACGACAGGCGATGATAACTTAAATCGACATAGTGGGGATTAGAATTAAGTGTGGATTGTACACCTTTGCGGAGTGCAATTGGTTGACTAAGAGGAGACAAGTCCGCAGTAGATGCAGAATCTGATGCGGGGCGTGAATCACCTGGCCTGATGCTGGATGTGGACGACGATGATAAGTCAAGAGTGGTGGAGCTGCAGAAGGTTGAACTGGATTATGTGGAGGAACTGGAGCTATAGGTGGTGGAACTACAACTGGAGTTGTAGGTGGTGGAGCTACAACTGGAGTTGTAGGTAGTGGAGCTGGAGTGACTGAATCTCCAAAAGATGAAACTGGTAGTACCTCAAAAATATCTAAGTGATGACCTGAACCTGTGAAGTATGATTTGGGTTTCAAAGAAGGTAACATCAGCGCACATAAGGTACCGCTGGAGGTCAGGAAAGTAGCATCGATACCCCTTTTGTGTTCTCGAGAGACCCAGAAATACGCACTTAAGAGCACGAGAAGCTAACTTATCTGTTCCTGGAGTAAGGTTATGGACAAAACAAGTGCTTCCAAAGATATGGGGTAGAAGAGAGAACAAAGGTAAGTGGGAAAACATGACAGAGAATGGAACTTGGTTTTGGATAGCTGAAGATGGCATACGATTAATAAGATAGCAAGATGTAAGAATTGCATCCCCCCCAAAAACGCAACGGAGCATGAGATTGTATGAGTAGGGTAAGAGCAGTTTCAATAAGATGTCTATTTTTTCTTTCAGTTACCCTATTTTGTTGAGATGTGTACGGACAAGATGTNTGAGATTGTATGAGTAGGGTACGAGCAGTTTCAATAAGATGTCTATTCTTTCTTTCAGCTACCCCATTTTGTTGAGATGTGTACGGACAAGATGTTTGATGAATAATCCCATGAGATTTCATAAACTGCTGAAATGGGGAAGACAAATACTCTCGGGCATTATCACTACGAAATGTACGAATAAAAATCCCATATCGATTTTGAATTTCAGCGTGGAAGGTCTGGAAAATAGAAAACAGCTCAAATCGATTTTTTATCAAAAATATCCAAGTGCACCTTAAATAATCATCAATGAAACTGACAAAGTACCGGAATCCCAAGGTGGAACTAACCCGACTAGGACCCCTAACATCTGAATGGATTAAAGTAAAAGGTGAATATGCTCGATTATCAAGACGCCGAGGGAAATTGGAGCGAGTATGCTTATCGAGCTGACATGACTCACACTCTAGAGCTGACAAGTGAGATCAACCAGATACCATTTTCTGAAGTTTTGACAAACTAGGATGTCCCAACCGTTTATGTAATAAATCTGGTGAATCAGTAACAGGACAAGTTGTTGAAGGAAGACAAGATGTGAGCCCATGTGATTTAGCAAGGATAAGATAATAAAGTCTGTTTGATTCATGCCCGGTACCAATGATCCGCACTGTACTGCGTTCCTGTATAAAAGCATGGTCATCAAGAAATAAAACAGCGCATTTAAGTGATTTGGCTAAGCGACTAACAACTATGAGATTAAAAGGACTATTGGGAACATAAAGGACTGAATCTAAAGGTAAGGAAGGAAGTGGACTTGCTTGACTTATTGCAGTTGCCATGGTTTGAGACCCATTGGTCATTGTAACTTTTGGAAGAGATTGAGAATACGAAATAGTAGTGAAAAGAGATTTGTTACCAGAAATATGATCCGATGCACCTGAATCAATGACCCAAGACTTAGAGGATGAAGATTGGGAAAAACAAGTCACGCTATTACCTGTTTGAACAACAGATGCTATCTCAGAAAATGTTTGCTTACATGCTTTGTACTGAAGGAACTCAATATAATCTGCTAAAGAAACCATCTGACTATTCAAAGCATCGGTTCCTATGTCGCTACGAGATGTCTGCTTACATACTTTGTACTGAAGGAACTCAATATAATCTGCTAAAGAAACCATCCGACTATTCAAAGCATCGGTTCCCATGTCGCTACAATTTGTAGTAGTAGGGTTAACTTGAAATAATGGAAATAAGTAACTCCTGTGAAAAAACTGAAGAAAAAACTTTAAAAACACTGTTTATAGCAGGAAAACAGAACACTGTTCTGCGTCGGAAACACTGTTCACACTGGAAACAGTGTAGCTAGCCGGAATCTACTGTAGCTGACGGAAAAACTCAAAGTCGTCGGAATTAAACAAAATCAGTGAGGGTAGGATCGGAATTACTAGGCGATCCCACTGTTCAACTGGAACTTTTTAAAAATCTGGCCGGAACAATGTTCACACGCCGGCGCGTGTGTGAGATCTCGCCGGAAATTTTTTGCTTTTCCAAGCGCGTGAGGGCGCGTGGACGTGTGTTTTCAGGTGGGGTTGACTGGGGTTTGGTCGTCGGAGCCTGAGGAGTCTTGTGGTGGTGTTGGTTTTTTGCACAACACCAACAGAAAGTGATTTGCTTACGGACAACCTTCTAAGTCGCCGGAAAATTGCACGGCGAAGAGGTCTTTCTTCCCGGAAGTCGCTGGAATGATGCACATTGACGATTTTCTCACTAATGCTGTGATACCATGTGAGAAAGCACGGGAGAAAATATATTATTGATATTGGATAATAAATATAATACAAGAGGTCCCTATTTATAGCTATACACTACAAGAAGATATTACTCCTCTTCTAATGTGGGACAAGACTACACTATATATATCTGTAAACTAACAAATTGAAAACCATATGAAGAGTGGTTAAAGCTTAAAACTTTTGCTGCCTTTAGTCTACCAGTGGGCTGTCTGAAACTTTGATAAGTTCAAAGTAATTTTTCCAGTCTTGGGAGAGAGAAGGTTGTGAATTTGAAATGCATATTGTAATGATTTCTTATCGTCGCTTTTCATTTTGTCTTTGCAGATGGAAAAAAGATCAGAATTCCAGGACACAGATTGCTGAGCAACAGACTAGTTAGGTGCCTAACAAATGTTGAAGCCTTTATATTACGAGCTGCAGATCTTAAAGAAGTCACCAATCTTTTCGCAAGATTCTCGAGGAGTCCACGTGTTCAAGGTGTCATAAGGTAATTTAAACTTATAGCTACTGAATCTCCAATCCATTTATTTGTTTTGTTGAAAACACTCGATACATGGTGATAAACAAAATAACGTGGCATTGATTTTTCATGGCTCTACCTATAGTATCAGATTTGTATAGTAGACAAAATATGAGAAGATCAACTAGAAGGGCCTCTCTGGAGATGATCATGTCAGATTTACATGTATGTGTTTTCAAGTTAGGTGGTAGTTCAAGTCATTGAGCCTTTACTCAAGCTAATGTCACTAATTAAAACCCATTCCGGTTTCTTTCTACTTTCATTCCTGACCACCAGCAAAACCATAATCTTTATCATTCTGCAGAACTAGAACAACGACACTTAGTCTAGTATACTTGTATTCTCTCCAACTGATAAAGAAATGGACGTTGAGACTAACTCAACCCCAAAAGCTAGCTCATGAGGTGAGGATTGCCCAAACCATATAAAGAGACCAATTCCCCCATCCCTTAGCTGATGTGGGAGACTCAACACCAACTGGAGGAAGTTATCATCTTATTTGTTCAAAAATTTGTGGAATGCTATGTTGTCTTTTTAAGCTATCCTATACTTATGTCCCTCTTCTTCCTCATAACAGAATGCCCTGCTTCCCTTATTTCTTGTCTCTTTGTTTCTGCTCCGCATTTCCCTTTTCTGACATATCATAGGCTTTTGAAGCATTACCTTGTGGAAGTTTTTCGCTCTCTTCTATGTTCATATTTTGCTTTGAGGGATGCTTTTTTTTGGTGGTTTGTGTGTGTGTGGGAGGGGGTTTGACGCGAGATTGCAATGGATTTGCTGGTATCATGGACTGATCAGTGGCTGGAGTTAGATGTAAAGCTTTAAATTGGAGGAAGAAGATTTATGATGCTATTCTCTATATTTGTTTTCTTGTTGTTTGATGCTCTATCTTTTTTCCCATCTTTCAGCTTGGACACTATTTAATAAATAGCTGATAGTCTTTATAGTAGCATGTAAAATATGTAAAGAAGCCATATTTCAGGTATAAATCTCCATATGGGCGGCGGCCAGTACCAGTTGCCTGGAGATGCAAGAAGAAACGTCAAAGCCGAGCAGACTCTTCCAGCCCCCGACACTAATATATCAATCTTAAACTACCTTAGTATAATTCATTAGTTCTTCTGAATACATTTTAAAATATTTGCAAATTGTTTCTGTATATCTATTTCTACGTTTTGTATGTAATATATAGTAGTTGTAATCAGAATCGGACTGAAACTTTGTATTGAAATAACAAATATATTAACCCCAGACGAACGGTTTATAATGTTAAAAAATATGTTTTTGATGAATAAAATAATACTAGTATAATCTGTTTTCTTCAGTGGCTATATAGATGTGTGCGTGTGTGTGTCAAGATGGATGATGAGATGTAATACTGTGCTTTATGCACCGCTTTGTTGAAACGGTTTACACTTGATGAATGAACAAATTGCGTAGACTAGAGAGCTATATAGAAGTTCGAATATCTTCAGGAATTTATTGAATATTTGAAGTACAACACTTGCCTAGCTCATCTGTATGCCACATCAATATCACCTCCAGCTGCGCAACAAAGGTGAAGATCTAGTAGAGGTCAGAAACTTTGACTGTCAAAATTTACTCCTATTTTGCACTTTGTTATAATTGTAGTGGCATCTGAACACCGGGGTAGTAAAAAGTTGTGTAATGATCATTAGAGCAGCTTTGTTGTTTTTATTTAGGGGCTCGGAAACTAGCACGCATACGCGATGATAGCAATATTTTCCATCAGAAGTACTGCAGAAGATGGGTTTTGAGGTCCTGGGGGACAATGATTCCCCATTGATTCACATCATGCTCTACTATCCTGCAATTTCTTCTCTTATCATTGCAGGCTCATACTTTTACAGATTGGTTAGCGTTAAATTTACAACTTTCGTTCTTATGTTGGAATTTACTTCCTTTACTGTTATTTTAGGTGGCCATAGGGACGGTTGTTTTTCCAGCAACCCTTTTACTTTTGGCCAGAACACTCATAACTCAATCACGGGAAGATCTTTGATAAAGCACTGGAGGTTAGAGCTTAGTGCACCGACCCTTTCCCGGACCCTGTGCATAGCGGGAGCTTAGTGCACCGGGCTGCCCTTTATTTTGTCGGCACTAATCACGCTCCGGATAACCTTTTGCATAACCATAGTGCAATGATTGTCACTTGCACTTTAGAAAGACTTTTAGTGTTGACAGTTTTGAACTAAAGCATGGCATACAATTTAGTACTAACTGAGGATGAATCTTTATTCTTGTAAAAGGAGCTGCTAGGTTTGAGCTACGGCGTCACCTCACCCTTTACATATTCTCCATATTTTTGGTTTGGAAG